CCACTTTCGCCACTCTTATTTAACATTGTACTGGAAGTCTTAGCCACAGCAATCAGACATGAAGAAAAAATAAAAGGGATCCAAATTGGAAAGGAGGAAGTGAAACTGTCATTATTCGCAGATGACATGATATTGTACATAGAAAACCCTAAAGACTCCATCAAAAATCTATTAGACTTAATAAATGAATTTGGCAAAGTAGCAGGATACAAAATTAACGTCAAGAAATCGACGGCATTCTTGTACATCAATGATGAACTCACAGAAAGAGAAACTGAAAAAACAATCCCATTTACCATTGTGGCAAAAAAATTACGATACCTAGGAATAAACTTAACCAAAGAAGTAAAGGACCTATTTGCAGAAAACTACAGGTCATTTAATAAAGAAATAGAGGAAGATATAAAAAAGTGGAAGTACATACCCTGTTCATGGATTGGAAGAATTAACATAATTAAAATGTCCATACTACCCAAAGCAATCTATAGATTCAATGCAATCCCCATCAAAATACCAACAACATATTTCATAGAACTAGAACAAATACTTCAAAAGTTCATATGGATCCAAAAAAGACCCTGAATAGCCACAGCAATCTTGAAAAAGAAGAACAAAGTAGGGGGGATCACAATACCAGATATCAGGTTATACAAAAAGCCACTGTAACCAAAACAGCCTGGTACTGGCACAAGAGCAGGCATATAGACCAGTGGAACAGAAATGAAAACCCAGAAATGGACCCAAGGCAATACGCTCAATTAATATTTGACAAAGGTAGCAAGAGCATACAGTGGAGTAAAGACAGCCTCTTTAATAAATGGTGTTGGGAAAATTGGACAGCTACATGCAAAAAAATGAAACTAGACCATCCACTTACACCATACACAAAAATAAACTCAAAATGGATAAAAGACTTAAATGTGACCCGTGAATCCATAAAAATTCTAGAAGAAAATGTAGGCAACAAAATTTCGGACATCATACGGAGCAGAATTTTCACTGATACATCACCTAAGGCAACAGAAATAAAGGAGAAAATGAACACATGGGACTACATCAAACTAAAAAGCCTCTGCACAGCAAAAGAAACAATCATCAAAATGGAAAGGCAACCCACTGTATGGGAGAACATCATTGCCAATGATGTATCAGATAAGGGGTTAATTTCCAATATATATAGAGTGCTCCTACAACTCCACAAAAGGAAGACAAAGAACCCAATTAAAAAATGGGCAGAGGAGCAGAATAGACACCTCTCCAAACAGGACATACAAATGGCCAAGAGACATATGACGAAATGCTCAACATCACTAATCATCAGAGAGATGCAAATTAAAACAACAATGAGGTATCACCTCACACCTGTCAGAATGGCCGCCATCAACAAATCATCAAACAACAAGTTTTGGCGAGGGTGTAGAGAAAAGGGGACTCTAATACACTACTGGTGGGAATGCAGACTGGTGCAGCCGCTATGGAAAACAATATGGTGCTACCTCAAAAAATTAAAAATCGAACTTCCATTTGACCCAGTGATCCCACTGCTGGGAATATACCCTAAGAAGCCTGAAACACCAATCAGGAAGAATATATGTACCCCCATGTTCATAGCAGCACTATTTACAATAGCTAAAATCTGGAAACAGCCCAAGTGTCCACCAGTAGACGAATGGATAAAAAAGCAGTGGTACATATACACAATGGAGTACTATGCAGCGGTAAGAAAGAAAGATCTCTTATCCTTTGAGACGACATGGAGGGACCTGGAAAGTATTATCCTAAGTGAAAGAAGCCAAGCAGAAAAAGACAAATACCACATGATCTCACTTACATATGGAATATAATGAACATAACAGTCTGAGGAATACAGTAGACCCAGACACATGGAAGTAGGGCACAGACTGACATCCCTCAGAAGAGGGGGTGGGGGGTGGGGGGTGGGAAGAGATAAACCACAGAACTTATATGCATGTATGCATGACCAATGGACATGGACAACTAAGCCAGGGACAGGGTGGAGGGGGGTGGGGTGGGGGGTGCCAATGGGGTAAAAAGGTAAAATATCTGTAACAAAAAAATAAATAAAAATTCATAAAAAATTTAAAAAAAATAAACAAATAAAGATTGTAAGACCAAAGGCCGAAGGTGCCTTAATTAAAAACACAAAATACTAGAATTTATAATATAAACTATATATATGGCATAAGCGTATATAGAAATTTACATAATTAAATGGCTAATTTAAGAGTACTTACAATTTCAAAAGATGCTTAAATTTTCCTTTATAGACCTAATCCTCTCATTCTACATTTAAAGATATTTTCCCCGTCCACAATAAATTGTGATAGTTAATGATTATTCTCCAGTTATGAATGTCAGTGGTTATTCTCAAATTTAAGATAATAAATTTCTTTTTAAAAAGATGTATATCACATTTTTTTGTAAGCATGAAAATAAGGCAATGCTTACACTCCTATGATTTAAACTTATCCAAAATCTCTCAGCTTGCATTTTTATGTTACCACCAATTAAATCCACCTCAATTGAGATAACCCAGAACTAAGCACTCGTTCCATCTGTGGTGACACCCCGTTCCCCACCTGCAGCCTGGAGTCGGGGTTTCATACTCAGCCTTTCTGGGGGTGATCTGTTTTCTGAATGAGGATCAGGCTATTGGAAGAAAACTCAAGTTTGTACACTTTTCCCCACAGGTGAGAAGCAGTTATAATAGATTTGAATTTTTTCAATTTTTTGCTCTTTAGACATTTAAAAGAAAAAGAGGTTTTGCTTTTTAACTTTTAGCACCACTTTGTGGTTTATTTTTTTATTTTATTTTTTTTAAATTAATTTATTTCTGTTACAGATGTTTCTCCTTTTTTCCCTATTGACACCCTCCTCCCCATCCTCCCCCGCCCCTCCATCCCCAGCTTTGTTGTCCATGTCCATCAGTTATGCGTATATGCATCTAAGTTCTATGGTTTATCCCTTCCCCCCTCTTCTGAGGATTGTCAGTCTGTACCCTACTTTCACATCTCTGGGTCTATCCTGTTCCTCAGACTGTTAATGTTCATTATACACTTAATAGCCTCAGATCCCTTTACAGAGCCCCAGGGTTTCCGTTTTTGGTTCTTTGTTTTTTGTCTTATTTATGGAGAAAGAAATGGTCAATTTGTTCAAGTCACTGTGAGGCCCCCACTCAGACTCAGCCCTGGCTCTCCCTTCATACTTGGAACCAAAGTTACAGAAATATATTAAAATAATAATACAAAACTGTTTTTTGCCTTATTATGCAGAAGTATAAGGTGATTTCTTTTTTCAGTTTGTTTTTTATTTAAAAACGGAACAAATGTAAATAGTTTATTAATAAAAATATATGATGTTAATAAATGTTTAACCTACATATACTTTATAGAAACAAAAACAAAACAAAAAAAGAATTGGCAATCACATATCAATCATTTCTTCCCCCCAAAAGGGACATAAAACAGCCACAACATGTCCTTCAACATTCCAGTTGTGAAGGGAAAATAACCCATTCTGTCCAGCTACACAAAAGTGTATGGCCAAAATATTCAGACCACTGAAACAAACAAAAAATTAGGATGGCAATATCTGAGTAGGTAATATTTTTAGTGGTAAAGAGATAGTAATAGTGTAACATTTCGATTGATCTTTAAATGTAATATCCTGAAATCTGTTATGTTATTTTAAAATTTAAATAACCAAAATTAGATCTAATCTAAAGAAAGAATTCCTATCTAATTTTAGCAAATATCTAAAATATAATTATCCGCAATGAAAAATACTGGATACAACAAAAATTTCCATTGATACTTAAATCCTAAACTACTATGAATATAATATTCATGAATACTACTCAAAATATTGAGATTAATAATTTAAATAGTATAGTATGCATATGAGAAGAAAAAGAAAGAGCTTCAGAAAAGAACCTCTGTATAGCTGCCAACCTTTTTTCTCATTATTCCTATGAAAACAGGTTTACTTCATTAAGCACTGCCCACATAGTGATGATTGCTTATGAGCTATTACCATTCAACAAAAGAAAATTAATACTATCTTGAGCTCTCAGAAATTATTGCCTGCCTCTATTATTCAACTACTTCAGTTTGAATAGAACTTGCTAATCTGTGTAAATTTATTTCTCAGAAGTTTCTTTTTCTTTCATGAACATCAAGTTCTCCCGTGATGGCTCTTCTCATTCACTGTAAATCGTGTGATTGTTTCCCAAATAATAAATAAATATCAGAATATTTTATAGTTAAAGTACAAAGACAGATAATTAAATACAAATTTTACTTCATCTCAAAGTATATTATCAGTTACGTGGATGTGTGTTATATTCCAGGCCTGACTGAATCCAACATTAGAAATGTTAAAACTTGGTACAATTTGTTGCAAATAAAATCTAATAACTTTCCATATCCATTCATGTGATTTTTTCTTTCTGATTATTAATATTTCATTCTAAAATGGGGAATCTGAATTTTGATCAAATTACCATCTTAAACATTAACCTTGGATATGCAGTGTTGCTGAACAGTTACTACCAACATTTTTGGATATCTAAAACTTTTGTCTCAGCATTTTTTTTCATGTAAAAAAAATATTTAAGCAAAAGGATGAAAGTGTAGAAAGTAACTGCCATGATCAAAGGTATAGAAATACATTTACTATTTACTTGACTCTTAAATTTTAGGTCAGGGTTTGCAGCACCCTGGAAAAAGACTATATCATTGCTGAAATGCTGGTATTTGGTGAGGAGAACAAAAATGTTAGAAATTTTCCATTAAGATGACTGAATCTATATCAACTATGAATTTTCTATAAAAACTAACTATTATAAAAACAATCATAAACATTAAATTATTTTTAGCTATTAAGTTATGGGGAAAAAGCCTTTTGAAAGTTAATCTGTAACTTGCTCAGGAAATAATTGTGTTATACATTAATAAACTGTTTAAGTCATACATTCTTACCGTTCTCGATTAAATTTAAGAGAATGAAGAATAGCTGGTCTTTTTTGTCTAAGGTTCCACAAATGAAGTGTATCATCTGAACTTGCACTGACTAAAGCACCCTGCAACAAAAAGAAAACAAATTTAATGAGTGATTACTTAACTTAAAATTTTTTGTGTAGCAAAAACAAGCTAATTTACTGAATTTTTCACTGCTTGAAGAGTTATCTGTGTATATATATAACCTAGAAATACCAGGAAGTTCAACTGCACATGCTTCAATCAGGAAGGCTAAGAATGCTGAAGTGGAAGAAGCAAGTAAACTACAGCACAGGGACTGGTCAGGATGACTAGCTCAAGGAATATGCATATACCAGTAGAGAGGAATAATTACTGTAAGCATCACTGTGCTTTTTATTAAGGAATTTTTTCCTACTGTCTTTGGAAAAAACTTAGTTTAATTTTTTGTTTCTATTATTCACATATATACTATATAGCTTTGCAGAGAAGCAAATATCCAACCACGTTCTAAAATTCAATCTAGTCATATAAAAATTCTCAGTTTGTAAGAATTTTCTATATACTATAGTTGGAAAGCATATATTCTTCCTAAAAAGTATATTTGGTATAATTTAATTGTTTTTATAGTTCAAGAAGCTTCATCTATGATAAAAGAAAACATTTTTTTCCAACTAGAATTCAGTATAACTTCAAACATAATGTTAGATTCTTTTTATACAAAACCCCAAATACAAATAAATCCTATTTCAAATACAATAGGCTGTTTTCTACTTCTTAATATGGCAGACACCATTTGGATATATATATACACACATACACAGACTTAAATTATTTATTTCATTGAGTGTAGTAACATCATCATAAATGATGTCAGAACTTTTATACTTATGAGCTTCGCAGCTAAAAATGTCACTGCTTGCCCTATGAAAGAGCCTGAAGTTACTCTAGAGCAGTGGTTCTCAACCTTCCTAATGCCGCAACCCTGAATACAGTTCCTCATGTTGTGGTGACCCCCAACCATAAAATTATTTTTGTTGCTACTTCATAACTGTAATTTTGTTACTGTTATGAATCGCCATCAGAAATATCTGTTTTCCGATGGTTTTAGGTGACCCACAGATTGAGAACCGCTGCTCCAGAGTATCAAAATGTGTTCTGTAAGAGTAATCTTGCAGAATCATGGTGATTCTGAGATACCTAAAATTCTTTTCATATTTTCCAAAGTACTGTGTTACAAGTAAGCTTTCATAGTTTGTAACATTTAGATGCTACAAAGAACTATATTGAAATCCCTAAGATATATTTCTTCTTCAGGAATTTGAGAAGAATGAATCTAAATGCCCCTTCATAACAATTTCTAAGACAAAAATACTCATGTATCCCATAATGGATCTCTTTATATTCTGTACCTGTGATTTTAGCATCAAAGAAGAATAACTTTTAAAACACCAATCATAATCAGAGTATATCCATCTAAAAATGTTTTAAAATTATTATAATTTTCATATTTGCATATAAATGTATAAAAACATATTCAAAGAGGTATACATTGATATATACACTTTAACATGAACTTATAGATAATTGCATTCCATGCAATAAAATGTACCCTATACATGCCTTGAGGATTTTTGCTTGTTTGCTTGTTTTATTTGTAAACTATTCCCAAATATTTTATATATACAAACTGTAAAATTACTAGGATTATTTGGAAGTGCTTAATAAACTAAAAAAAAATTATTTTTAAAATATAGGATACTGATCTCATTTCTCAGGAAAGTAGAAATTCACTTGGGATAGGGTGAGGATAAAATGTAATATAGAAAATTAATAAAACATTCTTCACAGTAAATAGTTATGTGCTATATAAAAGATACAATATGCCAAAGGTAATGGAATTAAAGCTACATATATCAATAATAAATTAGTGTAATAGCTGAATAAATCTAGGGAGGAAGTCAGTATTATTAAATCTATAACAAAAGTAGGAGGTAACATCATTGGAGGGAAATGAACAGGATCACTGAGCATAACAGCATCAACAGAGATAGGATACATGAAAGTAAGCACATCATCATTGTGTATAGGGTTCATTTACAAACAAAGTGAATCTACAAAAAGCACTACTAAGGAAGAGCTATGAAAACATTAAAAACTGTGAACAAAAACAGCAGTCATGTGGTCAGAAACTGTAAAGTTTGGAAAAAAGTACAGAAGCTGAGTGTGAAGTAGACCAAGGTGAGTAGTTTAGGATAAACCATGTAAACAATGGAAAGATGTTGAAGGCTTGTCTTTATATTTTCTTAGTTATGTAGCACAAGGAAAACATGGGGCTTTAAAGACAATTCTCAGAAAACTGAACCCAGAGGAAATACTAGAAGACAATTTATGCCTGCTAGTACACACCCATGCTGAAGGCTAAAGACTGAGATCTCTCAACTAAAAACAATGAGACTCCAAAAAGGTTGTCATTGTAAATACTAATGACTAGTTATTATAATGTAAAGGTTTTTTTGTTTTGTTTTATCCTTATTTGAGGACATCTGCATTTATCTTCAGGTAGAGTGGGAAGGGAGAGAGGGGGGAAGAGAGAGAGAGAAACATCTACGTGAGAGAGACACATTGAGTGGCTGCCACCCACACAATCCCAACTGGGGCAGAGGACAAACTGCAAACCAGGTATGTGCCCTAGTGAGAACTGAACTTGGGACTCTGGTCCACAGGCCGACGTTCTAACCACTGAGCAAAACTGAACAGGGCATGAAAAGTTTTTAAAATATTTTCCTTTTCTTCCTCATCTCCCTCTCTCATTTTTGTACTCTATAGCAAGTATGTCTATAACGTGAAATATGCTAGGATTGTCAATAAGAAGAATCTCACAACCTTATGAGAAAGATTTTGAGCCAAGAGAAGTAAAAAAGTGAACATCTGCCATTATCACAAATTGTTCATGCCTCAGGTGTCTCTGATATGAAGTTCCATAAACTTTGGTATTTGTGTTTATGATTACAAATGCTCAGAAAGCGGCACATACACAAATATATGGAGACATTCAATTAAAAATCATTATTCATGCCACAAGAGAGCCATCAGTATTATCTCTTTCTTTTCTCTCTCTCAAGTCACTCAGTTCAATCTGCTAAGTGCCTTAAGGAGATTTGGTATGGCACAAACTCTTAGAGCATTTTTGCATTAACTGTCTCACTTAACATAAAAGAGCTCTAGAACACTCAAAGATCCACTGTAAAAATCTGAGTCAAGAATTATCAGAAAGAGATATTAAACAAACAATCCCATTTATAATTGCATTTTAAAAAGATACCTGGGAATAACTTTAACCAAGGAGGTAAAAGATTATACTTGAGAAACTATAAGACATTGAAGAAAGAAATTAAAGATAGAAATAAGTGAAAACATATACCATGCTGATAGATAGGGAAACAAACACAGTTAAATGTCCATACTATCCAAAGCAACATATAGATTCAATGCAATCCCTATCAAAATATCAATGGCATTTTTCACAGAACTAAAACAAATAATCCTAAAATTTATATGGAACCACCAAAGACCCCAAAAAATCAAAGCAATCTTGAGAAAGAAGAATAAAGTTTAAGATATCATACTACCTGATATAAAACTGTACTGAGCCTGGCTGGTGTGGCTCAGCAGTTAGAGCATTGGCCTGTGGTCCAGAGAGACCTGGGTTCGGTTCCTGATAAGGGCACATACCTCGGTTGTAGTTTGTCCCCCCTCCTTGGTTGGGTCGTGCGGGTGGCAACCACTTGATGTGTCCCTTTCACATTGATGTTTCTCTCTCTCTCCCTCCCACTCTATCTGAACAAAATATGGAAAAATGTCCTCAGGTAAGGATTTAAAAAAGCTGCACTGAAAGGCTATAATAATCAAAAAGCATGGTACTAGCATAAAAACAAACATAACCAATGGAACAGGATAGAGAACCCAGAAATAAATCCATACCTATATGGTCAATTCATCTATGACAAAGGAGGCAAGAATATACAATGGGGTTAAGACTGCCTCCTTCAATAAATGGTGTTGGGAAAACTGGATAGGCAGATGCATACGAATGAAACTGGATCACTTTCTTATACCATATACAAGAACTAAATTCAAAATGGATTAAAGACTTAAATGTAAGATCAAAAACCATAAAAAGCCTAGAAGAAACATAGGCAATAAACTCTTTGATATCACTCTTAGAATTTTTTTTTTTTTTATATATATGTCTCCTCAGGCAAGGAAAACAACAACAAAAAATAGTAAATGAACAAGTGGAACTAAATCAAACTAAAGAGATTTTTGTTTTTCGTTTTTTGTTTTTGCACAGTGAAGGAAACCATCAACAAAACGACAACCAACTGAATGGGAGAAGATATTTGCTAATGATATATCTGATAAAGAGTTAATGTCCAAAATATATAAGGAACTCATATAACTTAACACCAAAATAACAATTCAATTAAAAAGGCAGAGGACCTACACAGACATTTCTCCAATGAAGACATATGGATGGCCAATGGATGTATGAAAAGATGCTCAAATCACTAGTCATCAGGGAAATGCAAATTAAAACCACAATGAGACACCTGTCAGAATGGATATCAATAAATCAATGAACAACAAGAGTTGGCAAGGATATAGAGAAAAGGGAACCCTTGTGCACTGTTGGAGAGATTGTGAATTGGTGAAATCATTATGAAAAACAGTATGGAGCCCGGCTAGTGTGGCTCAGTGGATTTAGTGTCATCCCATGCACCAAAAAGGTTACTGGTTTGATTTCTGGTCAGGGCACATGCCTGGGTTGTGGGCTCAATCCCCAATCAGGGGCATGCAGGAGGCAGCTGATCAATGTTTCTCTCTCATAGATGTTTCTGTCTCTTTCTCTCCTTCTCTCTTCATCTGTCTAAAAAAAAATCAATAAAAATCTATTTTTAAAAAATAATTACAGCCCTTGTTTGTTTGGCTCAGCGGTTAGAGCATCAGCCCATGGACCAAGGAGTTGTGGGTTTGAGTCCAGTCAGGGCCATGTACCTCAGTTGTGGTTTAGTTCTAGGCCCTGGTTGGGGTCATGTGGGAGGCAACCAATCAATATGTCTCTCTCACATCAATGTCTCTATCTCTCTCTCCCCCTCCCACTTTATCTGAAGATAAACAGAAAAAGATCCTTGGGTGAGGATTTAAAAATAATAATAATAATAATTAGAAAAAATGAAAACAGTATGCAGTTTCCTCAAAAAATTAAAAGCAGAACTACCATATGATCCAGCTATTCTACTTTTCGGTATTTATCTGAAGAAATCCCCACTCTTTCAAAGACATATGCACCCTTATGTTCACTCCAGCATTATTTATAATAGCCAAATTATGCAAGCAATGATAGATGAATGGACAAAGAAGTGGTACATATATACAATGGAATATTACTCAGCTATAAAAACATAAAATCTTGCCATTTGCAACAACATGAATGAACCTAGGGGGTATTATGCTAACTGAAAAAAGTCAGACAGAGAAAGAAAAATACTATATGATTTCACTTATATGTTACATCTAAAAAAAACAAAATAAATGAATAAACAAAATAGAAACAAATTCATAGATACAGTGAACATTTGATTTTGCTCAGAGGGTTGGGACAATGGGTCAAAAGAAGGAAGGGATTAAGATGCACAAATTGCCAGTTAGAAAAGCAGTCACATGGATGTGAATGAAGTACAGTGTATGGAATATAGTCAATAACATTGCAATAACTATGGTGTCATGTGGGTGCCAGATTTATTGGGGTGATCACTACATAAGTTATAAAATGTGTAATCACTATTGTACACCTGCAAATAATACAATATTGTATCTCAACTACAATTGGAATATTTTAAAACCTTTTTTTTTTTAAAAAAAAGATCTATGCCCTGTCCAGTATGGCTCAGTTGGCACTAAAAGGTTGCCAGTTGGTTCCCCGTCAGGGCACACACCCAGATTTCGGGCTTGATCCCTGGTAGGGGGTGTGCAGGAGGTAACTGATCAATATTTCACTCTCTCCCTTCCTTTCTCTAAAAAATAAAATTTTTAAAAGTTAATAAAAAAATCTTTTAAAAAAAAATGAAAGATCTATGAGATGGCCATTCAGACCAAATAAAACATCTTCCCACTCAAAGAAAAAAAACAATAATCTGAGTCAAGATGGCCTTCAGTAGCCTTCAACTAATAGAAGATCTCCAACCTTTCTGAGCTTTATAAATACATACTTTGTCTTAGTGAGTTCCTAATTACCATAGGTTTATAAAAATAAGGATAGACAGCCAATTGTCATAATAGCTATGGATACATAAATAAACAGTCCATACATATACCAACAAATGCATAAGGAGACATACACAGATAAAAGAGCCGATAGGTAAATAAGTGAAAAGATCATTTCATGGAAGATAAACATAAAATATTAAATTAGTGCTGGATTATAAAATTTAAGTTGGTGGGCAGAGACTGTATAGAAGAAAAGTTTTATGGTCAATGAATCAAGCAAAAGATGTCAGTAATATTTAAAAAACATTTAAATAATCTATAAATTATTCTACACACAGTAACACAGGATCTTCTAATATATACAACTTTTTCTTTTAAAATTTAATAAATTGATAAATACTAAAGTACAGTTTTTATGGAAACTTTGACCATGAATAATACTGCATACATATATATCTTTAAGCATTTAGCGTCAAAATGTAAAAAAGACATCAATGAATGCAGCATGTAAGTGTGGGTGTGAAAGAGAGATAAACAGTTGAGAAAATCCTTACCTCATTGATTAAGAATTGGAGCTGCAGGACAGCTGCACCACTTTCATGTTGGCAATAACAATCAACACCAGGTCTCCCGAGTCTAATATAAATAAAAGTCAAGGATTCTAACATTTTATTTATTTGTTACTTATTATTATTATTAATTTTTACTCCTCATCCGAGGATACTTTTCTATTTATTATCAGATAGAGTGGGGGGGGAGGGGAGAGAGAGAGAGAGAAAGAGAGAGAGAGATCGATGTGATAGAGCTACATCGACTGGTTGCCTCCCACACAACCTGACCAGGGCTGGGGACAAACTGCAACCAAGGTACATGCCCTTGGCTGGAATCAAATCCACAACTCATTGGTCCACAGGCTGACGCTCTAACCACTGAGCAAAACGGCCAGTGCAAGGATTCTAACATTTTAATTAGCATTTATTTTAATGAGAGAAAAATAAACTTACTTAATAAATGATACTTTGCTTTTTAATTATCCTAATTTTTATAAATAAAGAGTAGGAAAATCTTAGTTTTTGTTAATGTAAATTGCATTATATAGCACAGGATATCAGCAAAATGGCCAAATAAGACATCCCTCACATGTATCCCCCTCAACAAAAATAATTTGGTATCCATACACAAAAAAAATGACCTTCATGGGAGCCTTCAGATTCTAGAAGACTGAAATCTTGCTGCAGTCCCAGAATGAAGAGAGTTACAGGCTTACACCCAGATGCTAATATAGAAATAGCTCTGTAGCCCTGAGAACTCATCTACAGCCCTGTTTTGATTTTCATTTGTCACCAGCAAACGCCATACACCAAAGGACCCAGAAGAGTCAAGCCCACCCAAGCATCAGGTAATAGGCATAGAGACCTTAGTCCAAGTCGTAGACTGAGAAGAAACCTTTAAGCCAGCTCCAGCCTGTCTCAGCAGCAGTATGGAAGCCCCTGGAGGTAAAGCTGCCAAATATGATCAGATTATGTGTTCTGAAATAGCCCTGTAACTCAGCTCCATCCTCATTTCATAAACAGTGTCATGGGTACACGAACCCTCTCATCTGTACTCCTAGAGATCATGAAAGGGCCCTATGCTAGGCATTAGCTCACTGCCTCAGTCTATGCTGAGCTGCTGTGTCAAGCAGGTTGCTGGCACAGGCACAAAACAGGATAAATTTCTGTCTGTGCCCCCAGAGATCCTGAAAGGGCCCTCCCTATACATGGCCTTAACCCCGTTACAGTCCTAGTTACCCAGCAAATATTAACATAACTGGAGGGAGAAATAAACAGCAACACAATAACAGTAGGGGATTTAAATATCCAATTTTTAACATTGGAGAGATCATTCTTACAGAATTAATAAGGAATAAGTGAATATGAATAACACTATACATCAAATATACCTAACAGACATATATGGACCATCCAACAATACCAGAATATATATTCTTCTCAAGTGCACGTGGAATATTTTCCAGGATATATTATATGTTTGAACACATATGAAGCAAAAAGATTAAACCATATTTACTATCTTTTCTGACCACAATGGTATTAAACTAGAAATCAATAACAAGAGGAAAAGTGAAAGATTCATAAAATACATGAAAATTAACACAATCCTGAACCACCAATGAGTCAAATAAGAAAGCAAAAGGGAAATCACAAAGCATTTTCAAATAAGTGAAAATGGAAATAAAATATAACAAAACTTATGGAATGCAGGGAAAACAGTTCTAAGAGGAAAGTTTATAGTAATAAATGCCTACATTTAAAAAAAGAATGATCTCAAACAACCTAACTTGACACTTCAAGAAACAAGAAAAAGAACAAACTAAGCCCAAAGTTAGCAGAAGAAAGGAAATAATAAATGTTAGAGGGGAAAGAAATTAAATAGGGACTAGAAAGATATAAAAAAACAACAATAAAACTAAGAGCTTTTTTTTTTAAAAGAATTGACAAACCTAACCAAGAAAAAAAAAGGGAGGACTCAAATAAACGTATAAACAACAAAACGAAGAAACAACCTACAGAATGGGAGAAAATATTTGCTAAATATCACATAAGAGGTTAATATCAAAATATATGAGAAACATACAACTCAGTAGGGAAAAATGGGCAGAGGATCTGAGTGGACATTTTTCCAAGAAACCATATCAATGGCTAGTCGTACAAAAAAAGAAGCTCAACATCACTGATCAACAGAAAAATGTAAATCTAAACCTCACACCTGTTAGAATGGCTGTGATCAAAAAGACAAGAAATAACAAGTGTTAGCGAGGCTGTGGAGAAAAGGGAACCCTCATGTACCATTTGTGGAAATGTAAATTGGTACAGCCATTATGGGAAATAGTATAGAGGTTCCTCAAATGATGAAAAAGAGTGCTATCACATGATCCAGCAATTCTACTACTGGATATGTAGCCTAAGAAAATGAAATCACTCTTTCAAAGAGATACATGTATCCCCATATTCATTGTAGCATTATTTACAATAGCCAAGATAAGGAAACAACTTAAGTGTCCACTGATCAATGAATGAAGAAAAAAATGTGGTATATACAGGGTGGGGCAAAAGTAAGTTTACAGTTGTATGGAAAATTATACAATAATTAATAAATAATAATACAAAATAAACTCTGTGTTTCATGTACTCACAACTATAAACCTACTTTTGTCCCACCCTGTATACATACAATGGAAGATTATTCATCCATAAAAAAAGGATGTCATACCATTTGTGACCACATGGATGAACACTGAAGTCATTATGCTGAGTGAAATAAGTCAGACAGAGACAACTACTGTATTATCTCACATGTGTAGAATCTACAAAAGCAAATAAGCAAAAACACAAAAAAGATAGATACAGAGTACAGATGGGTGGTTACCAGAATTAGGGTTGAGGGTTGGGCTAAATCAGTAAAGGTAGTCAAAAGATACAAATTTCCAGTTATAAAATAAATAAGACCTAGGGATGTAATGCACAGCATGATAACTATAGTTAATAATACTGTATCGTATATTTGAAAGTTGATAAGATAGTAGACAACACAAGAAAAAAATCGTGACTATGTGTGATGATGCCTGTTAACTGGACTTACTATGGTGATCATTTCACAGTATACACAAATATCAAATCATTATATTGTACATCTGAAACAAACATAATGTTGTATGTTAATTATACCTCAAAAAGAAAAAATACAGAAAAAAAGATCTAGCAATATGTTGTCTATAATAAACTCACTTCAAATATAACGACATAGGTAAGTTTAACATAAAAGAATTAAAATAGATATACCATGCAAACATTATTTTTGTTGTTGTTAATCCTCATTGGAGGATATTTTTTCATTGCTTTTTCATTGAAGGGAGAGAAACAGTGATGTGAGAGAGACACATCGACTGGTTGCTTCCTGCATGACCCTGACCGAGGCTGGGGATCAAACCTGTAACCCAGATACATGTCCTTGACTGGAACTGAACCTGCAAGCCTTAGGTCTGAGGGCTGACAGTCTAACCACTGAGACAAATCAGCCAGGGCCAAATATTATTTTTTTAAAGCAGGAATTGCTATATTAAAATCAAATAAAGTTGATTTCAGAGCAAAGAACAAATAAAGACATTATATTATGACAAAGAGATCAATCCACTGGGAAGACATAACAATCATACATGTAGGGACACCAAACCAAAGAGTCCCAAAAAACAGTAAGCAAAAACTAATAGAGCTGAAAAGAAAAATAAATATATACAGAAATAGAGCTGGAGAATCAAATTTATGATAGAATCAACAAAATTAGCAAAGATATAGAACTCAACAACACAATCAACTAACAATATCTAATTAACAAACATGGAACCTTCTACTCAATATGAAAAGAATGCACAAGTTTTTACAGAGTCCACAGAGCATTCACCAAGACAGATCATATACTAGGCCACAAAACAAACCTTAACAGATTTTAAAAAACATAAATCATTCAGAGTTTGTTTTCAGACCACAATGAAATCAAACTAGAAATCAATAACAGGAAGACAACAAGAAAATGTCCAAACACTTATCAATTAAAACTCTTCTAAGAAATACATGGTTAAAAGAAGAAGTCTTGAAGGCAGTTTTAAAACTACATGTAACTGAATAGAAATGAAAACAAACATTAAAACTTGTAGGATCCACTGAAGCAGTGCTGAGAGGAGAATTAATAATGCTAAGTGCATACTTTTTAAAAGAGAAAGAATGTCAAATCAATAATCTAAGTTCCTACTTCAAGAAACTAGAAACTGGGGAAAAAAAAGAAAAGAGCAAAATAAGCTCAAAGACAAGCAAAGGAAGGAAATTAAGTCACTCTAAAACTAATACAATATTATATGTCAATCATAACTTAATTTTAAAAAGAAGATAAGCTGGAAAAATAATAAAAACAAAAAAAATGGAGGAAATCAATTATACCAAATGCTGGTTCCTAAAAAATAAATAAATAAAATGTATACGCTACTAGAGTAAGACTGACTACAAACTATCAAAATTTAAGTAAGATAAAACAGAAAACCAAAATAGCCCTAAAACTATTAAATAAGTTGAATTTATACTATAAAACCTCTCCTAAAATAATCACCAGGCCCAGGTACTTTCACTAGAGAATTCTACCAAACATCTAAAGAATAACATCAATTTTATTTACAGTCTCTTCCAGAAAACAGAGGAGGAGGCAACAGTTCTCAATTCACTTGTGAAGTTGGTATTACCCCAATATTAAAACTAGACAAAGGCAATACAAATAAAAAATTAACTCAAAATGGAACCTGTATTCAAATATAAAATGTAAAACTATTTTATTTTTTGGAAAAAAATAAAATAATGAAGATCCAGGGTTAGTAAAAGAGTTCTAAGAGGTGATACCAAAAGCACATGTATATAGGGAAAGCTGATAAACTATTCCCTGAAAGAGCCTGTTGAGAGAAAAAAGAGAATTTAAAGAATGGAAGAAAATAACTGTAAACCACATATCTGACAAAGAACTAATATTTAGAATACAGGGTGAAGCAAAAGGAGGTTTACAGTTGTGAGTGCATAAAACACAGAGTTTATTCTTGTATTATTATTATTATTAATTATTGTATTATTTTCCATACAAACAACTGCAAATTCTACCCCCTTATATATGAGAATACCACAATGAGATATCACTACAAAATTATCAGAATGGCTAAAAGAAATAATAATAACAGCACAAAATGCTGCTAATGATGTGGGGATATAGGATCACTTATACACTGCTGGTGGGAGTATAAAGTGTTGCAACCACTCTGGAAAATAGTTTGGCATCATCTCATAAAACCAAACATGTAACTACCCTACAACCCCCAACTGTACTCCTGGGCATTTATACCAAAGAAGTGAAAATTATGTTCACATAAAACGTGCACACAAATGTTCATAGCTGCTTTAATCAAAATAGCCAAAAAACTAAAAAGCAGATGTCCTCCAATAACTTAATTGTTAAACAAACTGTAATACATTCATACCATGGAATACTATTCAACAATAAAAGAAAATGAATCATTGACACATACAACAATTTGGATGAATCTTCAGAGAATTATGCTGAGTAAAAAAAAAGCCAATCCCCAAAGATTACCTACTGTATGATTCCATTTATTATAAAGCATTCTTAAAGTGGTAAAAGTATTAAATAAAGAACAAATTAGTGACTGTCAGGAGTCATATATGGGGGGGGGTTGGAAGAATTGAAGGGATAGAGTATGACTATAAAAGGGCAACATGAAGAATCATTGTGATGATAGAAATGTTCTGTACCTTGAATGTCTTAATATCAATAACTTGTAATATCACACTATAGTTTTGTAAGATGTTACTTTTGGAAATTGGGTACAGAGTACATGAAATTTCTCTGTATTTTTTCTTACAACTACAATTAAATCTGCAACTATCTCAAAATAAAATGTTTAATTTTTAAACGGGATGACAAAAAATAAAAAATGGGATGACACTAAAGAAAAATTTGGGAAGAAATTTACAGTACTATTAGCGTATTTTAGAAAAGAAGAAAGTTCTCAAATCAATGACCTCAAATTCCACCTTAAACCAGATAAAGATGATCAAATTAAACCCAAAGTTAAGCAAAATAAGTTTGAAAAATCAAAGTAAAATCAATGAAACAAAGTAACAATACAGAAAAGCAATGAGACCAAAAGTTGATTCTTCTAAAAACCAATATAGCTAATAAGCTTCTAGCCACACTGATCAGGAAAAAAAGAAAAGACACAAATGACCAATATCAGGAATTAAAGAAGAGACATCAATACTAATCTCACAGACATTAAAGATAGGCCAATAAATTTGACAATGCAGGTTTTCAAAATTGTTACTCACTTTTAAAGCAACAATATATTTTATTTGATTAAAAATATATTCACTCACCTGAATATTTAAGGAAATGTAATTGTTATTAATATAGCAGAAAATGAACCAAAAATTAAGGATACATTCGTATAGCACCTGTTCTTGTCCCAATAGCCAAGATTTTCTGAACTGGATCAAAGGCTAACGCTGTGGGCTGATAAGGAAAACCATGCCGAACTGTCTGAAAGAGAGCAAATAGTAAAAATAGTCATCAGGGAAATTCAAATTCAAATCACAAGATACTACTGTCCAACCATACTTGTCCTATGACCTAGAAATTCCACTCATATGTGTGTATCCAAGAAAATAAAGAACATATGTCCAACATAATAATTTGTATAGGTATGGCCCTAACAACTTTATACACAACAACCTAGAAATAGTCCCATGTCCAACAAGAGAATCAAAAAGCAAAACGGTGCCCTGCCGGTTTGGCTCAGCAGTTAGAGCATTTGCCTGCAGTCTGGAGAGACCTGGGTTCGGTTTCTGCTAAGGGCACGTACCTCAGTTGCAGTTTGTCCCCAGCCCTGGTTGAGTCGTGTGGGTGGCAACCACTCAATGTGTCCCTTTCACATCTATGTTTCTCTCTCTGTCTCTTCCTCTATCTCCCTCCCACTCTATCTGAACAACAACAACAAAAATGTCCTCAGGTGAGGATAAAAAAAAACACACACACAAAAAACGGTGATATACTAATACAATGGAGTACTACTAAACAATTAAAAACTACTGACAGATGCAACATGAATGATTCTCAAAAACATTATGCTAAGTAAAAGAAGCAATATGCAAAAGAGTGTATATAGTATAATTATGTTCATATTAAATTCTGAACAAACGCCCAGCCTGTGTGGCTCAATGGTTGAGCCTTGACCCATGCACCAAGAGGTTGCCAGTTCAATTCCCAGTTCAGGACACAGGCCCAGGTTGTGGGCCCAATCCCCAGTAGGGGGCATGCAGGAGGCGACCAATTGATGTTTTCGCTCATGGATATTTCTATATCTTTCCCCCTCTCCCCTCTTCTCTCTCTAAAAATCAATCAATCAATCAATTCTGAACAAGCAAACCTAAAATATGGTGGAAAAAAAATCAGATCAGTGTGTAACCTGAGCAGAACTGACTGGGAAAGTGTATGAAGGAACTTTATTGAGTGAAGATAATATTCTATATTTTGATAGATGTTTGGATTATACAGTGTATACATTAGTCAAAATTCATCAAATGGTTCAATAAAATTTGTGACTTCTCTGCATGAAATTATACCTGAAAAAAGATAAGAAAAATTATTATAAGCAAATATTGAACTCCAGTTCATGATATGCATATTGAAGTTTTAAGAGGTAAAGTGTACTGACATCTGCAACTTATTTTAAAATGCATCAAAAAAAGTAATATGGACAAATGGGTGGATAGAGTGATGATAAAATAAATATAACAAAATGATATTTATCAAATCTAGATAGTGAGTGTGTATGTATGTATATGTGTGTGTGTGTGTGTGTGTAGACATACACACATGCATACCTAAGTATTCAGAGTATAATTATTTCAACTCCTCTGTATGTTGAAAGTTTTCAAATAATACAATGAAAAAAATATATAGGGTGCCTCAAAAAATGTATACACACTTTTAATAATTATAAATCCAGTATTTTATTAAAATATATTTCATTTTCAAAATGTAATAAAATCTACACACAGATACTCTATACATATTTTTTGGAGACACCCTGTATATAAGAGCTCATTATATCAGAAAGGAGATAAGACTAATGTGTAAAAAGGGAATATCCAACATTAGGAATTAAATTTAATATAAAATGTGCTGTAACTTTTCAAAAAAGTAGAGGACCATATAGATAAAAATCAAAAAATAAATTCTATATCTTGTTCAGTCAGATATTTAGTGCTCCAAAAACTACTAATGAAAATATTTTCATAATAAAATATTACATTAGTAAGTTACAAATGTAAGTAGATGAAACAAAGGTAAACTACAGCATGTAGTTCATCTAAAACTCTTATTCCCCAGAGAAAACACTGTAAGAAATTCATTGCATAATCTCCTTATTTTCATTTAAAGTGTATAAGAATATATATGTATATGCATATATATAGTGTATAACCAGATCTGTAATCTGTCTTTTTTTTACTCAACAGTATGCCATAGAAAAAGTTTCACACAAAAAAATGTGCAAATATACTCCAAACTATTTAAAGTTGAAGAACGTATTACAGTATGAATGTAACATGATGTCCTTAACCAAACAACTACTGTTCTATAATCTCTAAAGAATTCTCAACTAAATTGGTAAAAAAAAAAAAAAATTCTAGTCATGATTCTTAATTCAGGTGTTTCTCACTTGATTTCAAACTGTCTTCCTTATTTAGACTTATAACATTGTCAAGAGGAAGATAGCCTTACTATTCTTGCAAAGCAATGTGGATAACAAGAACAGAATATAGTTTCTTTCCAAAAAAATAAAAAAGGTAAGAATACTTCCCAATTTATTCTATGAGGCCAGTATTACCCTGATACTAGAAAGTAACAAAAGACATCCACAAGAAAAAACTAAAGACCACTAATTCTTATTTATTTATTTATTTATTTATTTATTTATTTATTTATTTATTTATTTATTTTTGGTGCGTGCCCCTAGCAGGAACCAAACCCAGGACTCTCTGGTCCGCAGGCCAACGCTCCAACCACTGAGCCAAACTGGCCAAAGTGTAAAAACCACTAATTCTTATTAATAGAGGTACAAAAATCTTTAATAAAATACTAGCAAACTGATTCCAGCATCATATTAAAAGGACATACACTGTGATCTGGTGGCATATATTTAAGATTTTAAAAAATTACTTAATGTGCCCTGGCCGGTATGGCTCAGTTGGTTGGAGCACCATCTGATACACCAAAAGGTGGTGGGTTTGATTTCAGGTCAGGGCACATACCTGGGTTGGGGATTGGTCCAGGTTTGGGGTGCATGCATGAGGCAGCCAACTGGTTTCTTTCTCTCTCTCTCTTAAAAAAAAAAAAAAAGAAAGAAAAACATCCTCAGGTGAGAATTATAAAACTAAAGAAAAAGAAATTACTTAATGTAATATACCATGTCAATAAAATACAGGGCAAGGCCTAGCTGGTGTGGCTCAGTGGTTGAGCATCGACCCATATACCAAAAGGTCACAGGTTCGATTCCTGGTCAGGGCACATGCCCAGGTTGTGGGCCAAATTCCCAGTGGGGGGCATGCAGTAGGTGGCCAATCAATGTTGTCTCTCATCAATGTTTCTATCTCTCTTCCTCTCCCTTGTTCTCTCTCTAAAATCAATAAAGGGAAATTAAAAACAAAAAAAGATATAGGCCAAAAAACACATGAATATCTCAGTAGATGCAGAAAAACTACTTCAGGAAATTCAGCACCCATTCATATTAAAAAACACTCAACAAATGAAATTGTAGAGAAGCTAATCTGAAAAGAAGATATTAATGAAAACCTATACCAAACATTATAATAATTAGTCAAAGAAATTAGAATGTTTTCCCTTTAAGATCAGGAATAAAACAAGTCTGCTCTTGCCACAGCTCTTGTCCCATGCAGGACAATTAGGCAAGAAAAATAAATAAAAGACACCCAGATGAGAAAGGATAAAACAGCTGTACGTTAGATTGTTGCTATTTTGTATTAATGTAATCTTCAGTCTCTAAGGAGTCTATAATCCTGCTTAGTTGTTTTACTTAATATGTAATGTGTTCCCTGGTAAGAATATTTAAACTGACATAGCATTTTCAGAAAAATGTAAGTACATGTGTGTTTTATTTATTTTTTATTATTTTATTATTGTTACAGATGTTTCTCCTATTTTTCCCATTGACACCCTCCTCTGCATCCCACCCCCATCCCAGGCTTTGTTGTCCATGTCCATTATTTATGCATACATGCATATAAGTTCTGTGTTTTATCTCTTCCCTCCTCCCCACCTCCTCTTCTGAGGGTTGTCAGTCTGTACCCTACTTTCACATCTCTGGGTCTACCCTATTCTACAGACTGTTATGTTCATTATATTCAACAAATAAGTGAGATCATATGATACTTGTCTTTCTCTGTTTGGCTTGTTTCGCTTAGGATGATACTTTCCAAGTCCCTCCATGTCATCTCAAAGGATAAGAGATCTTTCTTTCTTACAGCTGCATAGTACTCCATTGTGTATATGTATCACAGCTTTTTTTTCCCATTCGTCTACTGATGGACACTTGGGCTGTGTTCAGATCTTAGCTATTGTAAATAGTGCTGCTATGAACATGGGGGTACATATATTCTTTCTGATTGGTGTTTCAGACTTCTTATGGTATATTCCTAGAAGTGGGATCACTAGGTCAAATGGCAATTCAATTTTTAATTTTTTGAGGTAACACCATAGTGTTTTCCATAGTGGCTGCACCAGTCTGCATTCCCACAAGCAGTGGACTAGAGTCCCTTTTTCTCCACACCCTCTCCAACACTTGCTGTTTGATGATTTGTTGATGGCGGCCATTCTGATAGGTGTGAGGTGATATACCTCATTGTTGTTTTAATTTGTCTCTCTCTGAGGATTAGTGATGTTGAGCATTTCTTCATATGTCTCTTGGCCATTTGTATGTCCTGTTTGGAGAGGTGTCTAGTTCCTCTGCCCATTTTTTAATTGGGTTCTTTGTCTTCCTTTGTTGAATTGTATGAGTACTCTATATTTTGGAAATTAACCACTTATCTGATGTATCATTGGCAATGATGCTCTCCCATACAGTGGGTTGCTTTTCCATTTTGAAGGTTGTTTCTTTTGCTGTGCAGAAGCTTTTGAGTTTGATGTAGTCCCATATATTCATTATTTTCTTTGTTTCTGTTGCCTTAGGTGATATATCAGTGAAAATTCTGCTGCATATGATGTCCGAAATTTTGTTGCCTACATTTTCTTCTAGGATTTTTATGGATTCACGGGTGACATTTAAGTCTTTTATCCATTTTGAGTTTATTCTTGTGTATGGTGTAAGTTGATGGTCTAGTGTCATTTTTTTGCATATAGCTGTCCAATTTTCCCAACACCATTTATTAAAGAGGCTGTCTTCAATCCATTGTATGATCTTGCCTCTTTGGCAAATATTAATTGAGCATAATGTCTTGGGTCTATTTCTGGGTTCTCTGTTG